TTTATTTATTTATTTATTTATTTATTTATTTATTTATTTATTTATATGGATCATGCATGCTACGCATGCACCCTACCACTGAGCTACATCCTCCCCCCACATTTTTTTCCTATTTCTTTACCAACTCTTCTTCATTCTTTGAAACTCAGCTCAGGTAGTCTGCCCTTCACATACAAAGGCTGAGGAGTCATGAGAGGTAGTCAGTGGCCTTTTGTGCTAAATTCGGGTGTTTAGGTTTTATTCCCTCCACTTTGTCTATCCCACGGTTTCTCTTGTGCTGTGTATCTCTGTGATCGCACTTATCATAGTTCATCATATTGGCTGTTTACTTGTGTGTCTCCATTAGAATTATACTTTTTAAGGGAAGGGACCATTCATCTCTGTTTTAGCACCTACATACCTGGCACATAGTAAGTGTTAAGAAAACATTTTATGAATGACAATTGAATTAATGAACGGGAGTGGACAAAATAAAGAAATGAACTTGAGGACTCAACTTGTCCTTAAACTGCCAACATGAGAATGCAGCCATCTTTTACCTTGGCCATACTCCAGGCATCACTTCCAGAACTGGAATGATCAGCACAGTAGCCTTAGCTAAAAGCTGTGTCCAGTATGGCCTGGAACAGACCCTGGTACCGAGAGACCCTGACACCATAAAGATGTGGCACACATGCCAACCTACTCAGCCTGCATCACCCATCACAGTTACCTACTCTTCCAAGGGAAGTGATCCAGGGAGCTCGGTCAAGAATCCTTTTTGGGGGTGAGGGTAGAACTCAGTGATAGAGTGTGTGCTTTGCATGCTTGAGGTCCTGGGTTCAATCCCCAGTACCTCCATTAAAAAAATTAAAAGTGAAAAAAGGATCCTTTTCCAGGGAAAGATTAATTTCTGGATCATGGTAGCCTCCTTTTGCAAATGGCTCCAAAGAGGTTCCACATCCACCTTCTCCCCTCTTCAACACCACTGTGCTCTCCAGCTACTTGTAAACCCACTGACTAGGGACAATGGACCTGCCTTGACATCATCTTATTTTAAACCATGTATGGATAAGAACTTAATCTAAGTTGTGTTACGTTTCCTACCTTATCACCCTCAAGCAAACTGTCAGGTCGAAAGTTACCAAGGCTTCCCCAAAGCACATTGTTGAAGTTTTGCCAACAAGGTTTCCTGGATTTTCCTTCTCTCAACATGTCACTCCATGTTCAGCAACAGGAGTTGGTCTTGCTGAATTACTAATGAAGTGATGTCTCAAGACTTGACTCCACAGTTTTCCTTTCCTTTCATTTCAATAACTATTTGTTAAGTACCTGTTGTGTGCCAGGAACTCTGTTAGGGGCTACGGAGGATGCAAAGATGAATGACACAAGTCTTACAAGTTGTCGAAATAACCAGTTTGAATATAAGGTAAGTGAAATAAGTGTTAAACAGAGGTATCAGCAATATGATGTAGGAACACAGGTGAAAAAAGGAAGGGAGACAGGAACTCACTAAACACCTATCTGTGTTGAGAACTCCTGTCACATAATATACATGTATATTATCATAGAGATGAATTTGGACTAGGAGAATCTGAAAAATCTTCATCTACTAAGACATTTGGTTGGGCCTTGAAAGATGAATAAGAATTCGATAGGAGGAAAATCAAAGTCAGGCACTCAAAGTTGAGAGAACATTATGTAAAAAGGCAACAGGGCATGAAAGTGCAGGAGCTGTTCAAGGAACACAGAGTATGGGGCATGGCTGGGCCACGAAGTATGAAAGGGTAGTGTGGGTTATGAGGCATGGAAATGTGGATTGGCACCAGATTTTGGAGGAGTTTTGATGCCTAGCTTGGACATTTGAATTTTATTTAAGAGGCAATGAGGAGCCACTAAAAGCTTTTCTTTTTTTAAAAAAATTTTTTTAATGGAGGTACTGGGGATTGAACCCAGGATGTTGTGCATGCAAAGCATGTGCTCTACCACTGAGCCGTACCCAACCCCCTAAAAGCTTTTTGATGAGGGGAATGACAAGATGGAAATGATGCTTTCGGGAGATTAACTTGGCAGGATGAACTGAGGATGGGGTAAAGGAGAGGTTGCAAGAGTAAGCAGAAGGCTGGGTCAATAATCCAGGCATGAAGCTGTAAATATTCAATCTAGGGAGGGGGCAGTGGTGACAGATCCAATAAGATTGCAAGAGGCAATATGGTGTAGTCCAAATGCATTGGACTGGGGCGGCAACAGCCTTGGCTTCCAGTACTAACTCTGATTTACAAGCTGTGGGGATTTCCCTTTTATGGTTCAGTTTTCTTTTCCCAAAAAGGTGAAGCTTGGAGAAGTAATTATCTTTAAGTTCTCTTCCAGCTCTAATGGCCTCTGGTTCAGACTAAGTCACTTGCCCAATGTTACAGAGCCAGGATTGGGTCCCAAGCAGTCTTGTCCCTAGAGGCAGTGTGCTTAACTACTGCACTACGTGGACAAGTATATAGGCTAATTGATCAGATTTGGTAAGGGATTAACTGACTAGGAGAATGGAGGTGCCATTGAAAGGGTGATGGAGCAAAAGAGGAAAGTTAGCCTTGTGGGGAAAGATGATATTTCAGACATGCTGAGCGTGAGGTTTCAGTGGAACATCTGACTAACTGTTGAAAGGGTGGGATAGCAGCTCTGGAGAGAGGCAAGGGTGTGAGATTTCAATTTGGCCATCAAAAACCTAAAGGCTATCCAGAAGCCATGCAAACAGATGAGTCTTTAGAAAGAGGAAGTGAGTATAAGAGAACAAAGAGAAAAGAACTGTGGGAAGTGAGAAAAGGGAAAAAAAAACCAAAGAAGGAACAACTGACTGTGAACCTGGAACAAGCTACTTCCATTTTCTGGCTCTTTAGTCTCCTCATTTGTAAAATGAGGGGGTTGGCGCAAGAAAGTGATAAGGCTGAGACATCCTATGCATAATCAGAGAAGCTAGGATGCCATGCAAACTGAAGAAGAGTTTCTAAAAGAAGGCTTGAAGGGGTCACTTGCATCCAATGGTGCAGAGGTGTCAGGGACTGAGGACTTAGATGAAGCCACTGCATTTAGCAATTTAAGGATCCTCTCCAAGGTAAGGACCTCTCCCTCTCTCTCTCATGCCACTAATTTTCTGTACTCTACCACTTCTAAATATGAATATTCTGCAAAATTTTGTTCTCTGCCTGTCACAGTGGCTCAGCCACTCTCCAAGATCAACTATTATATTTATAAGGTGAATCAGAAACCTCTGGTCCATATCTTCCTTTTACACTTCAACTCACATTTCCAACTGCCTCTTGGAGATTTCTGTCAGTCACTGAAATTCAGTGGGCAATAAGAATAATCATTAAAAATAATAGCTAATATTTATTGAGTACTTACTCAGTTTTGTCTTATATGGTAGGCATTTTATTATTCCCACTCTGCAGATGAGGAAGTAGAGGCTCAGAGATGTTAAAGAACATGTTTAAGTTAAAGAGATGTTTAAGGACACACAACTGTGATGTTGCAGAACCGGGATTCTTCCCGATTCCAGAGCTCGAGAGCTTAATAATTTCACTATGATCAATCTCAAGTCATCATCTTTATTTTCTAAATCAAGTTCAGTCAACTACCTTACTTTGCTATTTCTGTTTCATTCTCCTCCAAGATCATGCCACTCTCTTAGAACAGGTTCTCATCCCCTCGTGCTCGGATAATTATGGAAGTCCCTCAGTGGGTCTCCCCACTTGCAATTTTATCCTTCCAATTCTGGACATGTGACCCATCTAGCTTAAAAAAAGCTCTGAAGCTTCCCATGATCTATGTTAAAGTCCAAACCCACTAACATGGCTGAAAGACCCCCTTTACAGTCCAGCCATGCCCCTGCACTGAGTCACTAGTCATCCCCATACATGGCAGAGACATTTCCACCTACAAGCCAATGCCTATGTGTCCCTCTATCTAGAATGCCCTCCCAGCCCTTCACCAGGAGAACCTCCACTCATTTTTCAAATCCTAGCTCTAATGTCATTTCCTCTGTTAAGACTTCGCAAATTCCCAGCCCCTTCTTCTGGCAGAAACTGTTTCCTCCTCTGGGCTTGCAGACTGCTCTGTCTCCTACTACACTAGGAGCGCCTTGGGAGCACTGACCTCACCTTGTTCTCCATATCCCCAGTGGCCAAAGCACCCCAAAAAATGCTTGCTGGTATTGAATGAAATTATAACACTCACTTTCTGTATATTTGTTATCTAACATAGGGTAACTGGCATTGCTACTGTGAAAAGAGATGCCCAGATTCTGATTTTCAGAAAAAATAGTTCCCATTCACTATCTTTACTGCCTTACTTCCCATAATAATTCAATTGTTGCATTCTGGTCTCTGCCCCAACCATCAGCTTTCGTTATGCTCATAAGTGACTTCCATATCAGAAAAGCCACAGACATACTTCAGAGAGAACTTCCCAGTAGTAACTGATTCTATGAACAAATCCCATTTCTAGAAAATTACTCCTCTTTTGGCTGCCATGATATCATGCTCATGATTTTCCTCTGCGTTGTCCTCTGTAGATGCTCCCCAGAATTCTAGCCTCAGTGTCTTCTTACTCTAAGACTCTTGCTGAGTGATTTATTTGAGTCTTTCCTTTTTTTAAGTAGAGGTACTAGGGATTGAACCCAGGACCTCATGCATGCTAACCGTGCACTCTACCACTGAGCTATTTCCTTCCCCTCCAAAAATACTTTTAAAGAGATCTTTATATATTTTGAATGACAGTCCTTCATCAGATGTGTCTTTTGCAAATATTTTCTCCTAGTCTACAGCTTGTGTTCTGATTCTCTTGACATTGTCTTTCATAAAGAAGTTTTTCATTTTAAGCTTTCTTTCTTTCATGGATTGTGCTTTTGGTGTTGTATCTAAAGTCACTGCCATACCCAAAGTCATCTAGGCTTTCTCCTATGTTATCTCCTAGGAGTTTTATAGTTTTGAATCTTATGTTTATGTCTATGATCCATTTTGAGTTATTTTTTTGTGAAGAGTGTAAGATCAGTTTCTAGATTTATTTTGGGGGGATGTAGATACCCAGTTCTAGCACCACTTGTTGAAAAGATTACCTTTGCTCCATTTTATTGCCTTTGTTCCTCTGTCAAAGATCAATTGACTATATTTGTGTGGGTCTATTTCTGGGCTTTATATTCTGTTCCATTGATCTCTTTGTCTAGTCCTTCACCAATACCACAATGTCTTAATTATTGTAGTTTTATAGTAAGTCTTGACATTGGATAGTTGGTCCACCAACTTTGTTCTTCTCCTTCAGCATTGTATTGGCTATTCTGGGTCTTTTGCCTCTCCATATAAACTTTAGAATCAGTTTGCTGATATCCACAAAATAATTTGCTGGGATTGGAGTTGCTTTGTGGGGTTTTTTTTGTAATTTTCTTTTACTTTTTAATGGAAGAATAGTCTGTTTATAATGTGTTAGTTTCTTGTGTACAGCATAATGATTCAGTTATATATATATATATGTGTATATATATATATATATATACATACACATTCCTTTTCATATTCTTTTTTATTAGAGGCTATTACAAGGTATTGAATATAGTTCCCTGTGCTATACAGTAGGACCTTGCTGTTTATCTGTTTTATATATAGTAGTTAGTATCTGTAAATACCAAACTCCCAATTTATCCCTCCACCTCCTCCTTTCACCCCTGGTAACCTCAAGTTTGTTTTCTATGTCTGTGAGTCTGTTTCTGTTTTGTAAATAAGTTCATCTGTCTTATTTTTTACATTTCATATATAAGTGATATCATATAGTATTTTTCTTTCTCTTTCTAGCTTACTTCACTTAGTATGACAGTCTCCAGGTCCATCCATGTTGCTGCAAATGGCATTATTTTATTCTTTTTGTGGCTGAGTAGTATTCCATTGTAAATCTAAACACCACAACTTCTTTATCCAGTCATCTATTGATGGACATTTAGGTTGCTTCCATGTCTTGGCTATTGTAAATAGTGCTGCTATGAACATTGAGGTGCGTGTATTTTTTTGAATTAGAGTTCCCTCTGGAATATATACCAGGGAGTAGGATTGCAGGATCATATGGTAAGTCTACTTTTAGTTTTTAAAGGAATCTCCATACTGTTTTCCATAATGGCTCCACCAAACTACATTCCCACCAACAGTGTAGGAGGGTTCCTTTTCTCCAAACCTTCTCCAATATTTATCATCTGTGGACTTTTTAATGCTGGCCATCCTGACTCATTGTAGTTTTGATTTGCATTTCTCTAATAATTAGCAATTTTGAGCATTTTTCATGTGCTTATTGGCTATCATTTGTATGTCTTCATTGGAGGAGGTGCTTTGAATATACACATCAAGCTGTGAAGAACTGACATCTTGACAATATTGAGTCTTCCAGTCCATGAACATGGCACATCTCTCCATTTATTTAGTTCTTCTTTGCTTTTGTTCATCAGAATTTTGTAGTTTTCCTCATATATATCTCATAATTATTTTGTTGGATTTATATCTAAATATTTTATTTTGGGGGGTGCTAATGTAAGTGGTATTGTGTTTTCAATTTCAAATTTCATATGTTCATTACTGGTATTTAGGAAAGTGACTGACTTTTATATATTAACCTTGTATCCTGCAACCTTGCTATAATTGCATATTAGTTCTAGGAGTTTCTTGTTTATGATTCTTTCAGATTTTCTACCTAGATGATCATGTCATTGGCAAACAAAGACAGTTTTATTTCTTTCTTCCTAATCTGTATAACTTTTCTTCTTTTTTCCTGTCTTATTGCATTAGGTAGAACTACCAGCACAATGTTGAAAAGGGGTGGTGACAGGGGACATCCTTGCTTTGTTCTTGATCTTGGTGGGAATGCTTCAAGATTCTTACCATTAGGTATGATGTTAGCTGTAGGTTTTTTTGTAGATATTATTTATCAAGTAGAGGAAGTTTCCCTCTATTCTTAGTTTAACTGAGAGTTTTTATTATCAATCAGTGTTGGATTTTTTCAAATGCTTTTTTTGCATATATTTATATGATCATGATGGGATTGGCTGTATTAATTTTCTAATGTTGTACCAGCTTTACATACCTGGGATAAATCCCACTTGGTCATGGTGTATAATTCTTTTTACCCATTGTTGAAGTTGATTTGCTACTATTTTGTTGATGATTTTTGCATCTACATTCATTAGAGATATTTGTCTGTAGTTTTCTTTTCTTGTAATGTCTTAGTCTGGTTTTCATATTAGGGCAATGCTGGCCTCATAGAATGATTTAGGAAGTATTCCTTTTGCTCCTAACATCTGAAAGAGATTGTAGAGAATTGGTATAATTTGTTCCTTAAATGTTTGTTTGAATTCACCAGTGAACCCATCTGAGTCTGGTGTTTTCTGTTTTTGGAAGGCTATGGATTCAATTTCATCAATAATTATGCCTATTCAGATTGTCTGTTTCTCCTTGTGTGAGTTTTGGCTGCTTGTGTCTTTCAAGGAATTGGTCCATTTCACCTAGGTTGTCAAATTTGTGGGCATAGAGTTATTCGTGGCATTCCTCTTTTATCCTTATGGATCTGTAGGAATGACCCCTCTTTCATTTCTGATATTAGTAACTCTTTTTTCTTAGTTAGCCTGGCTGGAGGCTTACAAATTTTATTGATAGTTTCAAAGTCTCAGCTTGTTTTTGTTGATTTTCTCCAATCATTTTCTGTTTTCAATATCATTGATTTCTGCTCCAATTCTTGCTATTTCCTTTCGTCTGCTTATTTTGAATTTAATTTGCTCTTTTTTCCTAGTTTCCTATGGTGGAAAGTTAGATTATTTTGTTTATTTGAATTATTTGGTTATTATTTTATTAGTTTATTTTTTGTTAGTGGATATACTGGGGATTGAACCCAGGACCTCATGCATGCTAAGCATACGCTCTACCACCACTCCCTAGATTACTGGGTTTAGAGCTTTCTTCTTTTCTAATACAAGCACTCAATGCTATAAATTTCCCTCTAAGTGCTGCTGTTGCTGCATTCCACACATTTTGATAAGTTGTGTATTCATTTTCATTTAGCTGTAAATTTTTTTTTCATTTTTCA